GAGAATGCCCAGGGCCACACCGCAGAGGATTTCGCCGATGACAGACGATGAGATTCGGTGCGAAGAAGACGGGGAAGATGAAGAGCGACAGGGCGATAAGGGCGCCGATCTGGACGCGACGAGAGCCATACTTGGACACGAGATAGCCGCTCAGGAGGCAGCCGAAGATGGAGCCGACGCCGGCACCTTGAGACAGACCGGCCTGCCATGCAGGGGTCAACTGGTATCCCGTTGGACTCTGGGGAGTGACCCCAACGAATCGGCCGTACTTGATCAGGAACGATGCTGTTGGGATAATAAATTAGCGTCGTTGCGTCGTGGGGAAGCAGGTTTCCTTACGGTATGCGAAGAAGTTGGACAAGAGGTTGGTATCGTAGCCCTCCATGATCACACAGGTGGATGACACGAGCGCCCAGCCGATGGCCTTTGGATACACTCGGATGGCCTCGGCGATGGTGAGTTCGTGATCATCAGCAGTAGCCTCGAGTGCGGCCTGGTTGAGGACCTTGTCGTCAAGGGCAGTCTTGTTGGCTGCTTCCGCCAGGACCGCGACGGTATCAGCCTTTTCCAAGGCGACGACGTTCGACTTCTCCATGATGAAGCCCGGGTTTCGAAAGACGGAGCGTCTTTGCCGTATTCAAGCTTTGTTATAGTGGTGAAGAGGATGAGAGAGATGCTGGTGCAACAAGACCCGGTTCCTCGTGGGTCCTTGGGGTCCCTTATATAACAAGTCTCAAGGCCGCGGCGGCCTGCCCTTGAAGTATCACAGCATCTTCAAGCCTTCACACGCCGCCCCGAGTCATGGTATCCTAGCTATGGAAAAGAAGTAGACTTCGCCCAAAGGGGGTATGCTCGGGGTTTGTCCCCAGTACCCCGCTGCCCAGGAAAAGGTGAGGTAAGGTTGAGAAGACACTGGCACGATCTGATGGCCTCGCTTTCGAGCCGATGCCCCTGCATCTCCGCAATTGAGCTGTGTCGAAGGCTAAAGCCCCAGCTGGGGTCGAGATTCCACCCCGCCAAATTCGACATCTCCCCAGGGACAGCCGAATCAGGTGTTTGCATTGTGTGCAGTGAAGGCACGCTACGGCGGGAAAGTTGGCGGAAAACTGGCGCCGCACAACCAACAGACCACTTTCAATTTCCCAAGCCTTTGGCTCGGCCCAAGGCATGCGAGAGCACAAGGTCTGAATTCAGGTTATACCTTACCCTAGTGCGCCATGTCGGTCCGACAGAATCTTTAATGGATCGTTTAGATGTGGAAATGTATGATTTTGCAGCATCATGTGCACGCAATGTGACATGGCTGCTGGATGTTCGTGAGAGGCTCGCCTAGATGATGTATTCTTTGGCCCCTTACGGCTGGAGGCTAGAGTTCTCCGCCATAGCAAATGGGCGCCTTTTCTTAGCCCCCGCCCTGGCGTGTCCATTTAACACACCACCATCGGCAGACGACTGAGCAGTGTGTATTGTTGCAACAGTTGACTTCTGGGCACCTGCCCCCGCCACCACTAGAAGGCAAAAAAAAAAATCGTTTAACCTCAGAGTGCAGTATTGCTCGCTTGAACATGGTGTCCTGTCAGGTGGCGGAACGGATGTATGGGCTTGCGGAATATGATCGAGAGGTGGATTGAGGCAGATGTTAAATGAGCGTCCAGCATGATGTAAACACGAACCTAGCTCTCAGCTGCAAGTAATACACACGACAATGCCTATCTAAGTACTTCTCGCATTTGAATGAGCTGTGCTCCGGAGTTAAGAGAGTTACTCAAGCAGTGAGGCCGAATGAGTCCATACCGTTTCACTAATACTATATTCATCTCCAGTGTACTCATGCGAGGGTCGTCCTCCCATCATGTGCGTCGTGTGTTGAAGCTTCGTGTGAGCACTATTCGTCATTCAAGACTCTGGCAGATGAAACGTCAGATACCCCAGATTATTCCCCCGAACTCGTCGGCCTGGAGAAGAGGGGAGATGGGAGCATAGCCCATGTTTGTACAATGATCATCAGATGTTTAATCGGCTCGCGACGTGGTGCTAGTACACGTGCGGCGGGGCCCACACTGTTGGTAGCGTATGCGGGGAGCATCAGTGCCGGACAGGGATCTCGCAGCACCTCCACGTCCCTTGATCGCTGGGCGGAATATTGCGGAATACTTGTTGGAGCAGTTTTCCGACGACAAGCCGCCTGAGGCGTCGCTCGTACAGGGCCATCTGCCATAAACCTCGCCAGATCTCCATTCGAGATTTCATCGATCGATCCGAACGTCAGGCAATTCTTGAGAGTTGAGACACTGAACAACTTGGCGGACTGTGTCTCGCTTCTCTTGAAGCTGATGACGGGTTGGTATCGTCTGACGAAGTTGGTGCCAGCACTGGGAGGGAGCAATTACGTCCGCAGGCTAGATATCCTCAAGACAGGGTTTGGTTGCACTTGGTTTTGACAATGATGATAGTGCGTCGCATCAAAGAAAGCTGGAGAATTTTCCTTCCAGATCAACTCACAAAGAACAAGACAACATCGTGAGATCTCACAATGACGCAGGTACTGTCGGTCCTCATCCACGAGGAGATGAAGTCGAAAATACAGATAGCGAGGTCCGTAGAAGGAGCTGATTATTAAGGGTCCATCGTGTCTGTTCTGGTCAAGGCGGCAATAGGCGGGCATCTTATCTTATCTCCGGCCGCCGCCTGGTTGCCCCCACCCATACTCGCGCCGATGCATGTCGTCACGAACCTTGGGGATGAGAGCTTCGTGACTACCGTCACAACTCACCTCGAGCTTTTTCTCCAAATTTACTGGCCGTATCATATCGTTAGACTCCCGAACTCACATTGCCGGGGAACGTAGCTTCGTGCATCAAGACGAGCATATCCGACGTGGTAGTGGTCCGCGTTTGCTGGCTGTTCCCCGCCTCTCTCTTGTTGCAGGCGCAGATATCCCACCTCACCTTAGGTACCCTTCTTGAATGCCGAGGCACCGACTCGGGCACCACACAAACGCGATGGACAACTCCGATCGAGACTCATCCGCACAGCCCGTTAGTCATGACCCCCAAGAACTGGACGAGGAACTACTTTCCGACTGGTACCTTCAACAACAGGAGCAAGCTGCCGAGTCATCTATGAACTCCGACCAAGATGATTCCGAAAGTGGAGTTCATTATGAATACGTGCTCGAAGATGTAGAGGAAGACGACGACGAAGACGACGAGGATTATCATGGTGAGTTCAATCATCTGCCCGCCAGTGCATCTCGGCTAACTTTGTGGAAGATGCCGAAGACGGTGAAGATACAGAAACAGAACGTGAAGTGGCCGGTATCATCGCGTCAAACGGAGACGATGATGATGGGGAAGAAGACGAGGAGGATAGCGATGACGCTGACGACGCGCTTGATGGTGTACAAGCGATTTTAGGTTCGCAATCCCTTTAGCTGTCAATGGTCACCTCGATCCTAACTCTGGGTAGATGGCGCAGGAATTGGATGGTTGTCACGAGCACAAGTTATGGCACTTCTGAGAGGCAGAAACCTTGGCAGCGTTCTGGTCGAAGAAGGGGATGACGGCGACTTTCTGAGCTTTGGTGCCAGACGTCGACGACGGGCGCCACCCGATCCGAATCGTTTCCCCAAAGTCCCGAGCGAGAAAGGCCTCGAGCTTATGCACTCAGGTGTCTTTGGTGCCACTGATGTCCGTGTTCACAAGCAGAAGCAGCTGGCCCGTCGCATCCTCGACCGAGAGCTCGGCTTTGATACCAGAGTCGATCAGCAGAAGAATCAAGACTTGATGGCGCAGAACATGCTCCCATCAAACAGAGCAGAAATGATTGTCCACTACGATTCGCCTGTGTACTCTGGTCAGTTCTCCGAGGACGGCAACTTCTTCTACGCATGTGGCCTGACTTCAAAGGTCCGCATGTACGACACATCGAACCCGTACAACTGGAAATACTACAAGACCGTCGAGTATCCCTTCGGCCAGTGGACATTGACTGATGCGTCGCTGAGTCCCGACAACAAATGGCTTGCCTATACCTCGATCCATTCCAGCGTCTGTCTGGCGCCGACCGATCCCAACGATAGGGGTGATCCGTATACGCTCAACCTCGTTGCCGGCAGGGGTGGCCACAGAGGATACCACAGCTTTGGCATATGGTCGGTCCGGTTTTCCGGCGACGGGAGGGAACTCGTTGCCGGCACCAACAAATGTTCCATCATCGTCTATGACATCGAGTCCCGTACGGTGCTGCATGATGTGCAGGGCCACGAGGACGATGTCAATGCCGTATGTTTTGCGGACAAGTCTTCGCCACATATCTTGTATTCCGGCTCCGACGACACCACGATCAAGGTCTGGGATCGACGAAGCATGGGCGATGGACGGCCAGCGGGCGCTTTCATCGGACATACGGAAGGACTGACGTACATAGACAGCAAGGGCGACGGGCGCTACATTTTGAGCAACGGCAAAGACCAAACGATGAAGCTGTGGGACCTGCGCAACGTCATGCCCACCGACAGGTTCAGCGAGCTCAACCCCACGCAGCACACGGCAGGCCGGGGCTTCGACTACAGAATGGGT